CTGCCTCCCTCTCCTCTCCCCCTTGCAACGCCATAAAATAATTTACACCCCCCTCCCCCCCCCAGGCGCCTTCCCTAAAGGAGCCCTTGCACTTACCTGTACTCCTCATCCAGGGGTAGATCCGGAAGTTACTCTCGTTTTGCAAGTCTGAGTCCCTCTGATCCGTTTTGTTGCAGTTCTGCTTGGAGGCATCTCCGGGGCACATCATTGAGAGGTTTTGCTCAAAGGGAGAACAGTGCATGTTGAAAGAACTGCTTTCCAGGCCGTAGCTGGTGGAGTACATGCTAGCGGGCTGCGGGTGCATGCTGCTACCATTGGTGTATAACCCAGGCATGGAGGCAGCGAAGGAGGAACTCGACCCAGAGCCATAACCCGTTCGTTGGGTGTTGGAGGCAAAAGCGCAAGAAGTTTGCTCAGGAAAGACTCCGGATGGGAAAACCGAACTTGCGGGTTGATATTTAGAAAATAAAGCATTCGCATAATACAATGAACTCATAATTTGGCCGGGTGATTTGTAGGCCGGGACGTTTTAGTGTCGGTTTTACGAGGTACCGTGATATATTACGGAATTAGAGTCCAGATTTACACCAAAAAGGACCCCTTTTTCCTCCCTGACCATGTGACTCCGGGGCACGTGATTTTGCCAGCTCCAATCAACGGCCAGCTCCCCCACTGGCTCCTTGTAATGTGGAAAAAAAAATTGTAGTACTGTTGGATTTATAAAATATGATAAATAATTGATGGGATCTAAACCCTCCAAGATCTATGCGAGAAGGGGTGGAATTGTGCTCGAGTCGATAAGCAACCTGTAATCAGTTTTCAACTGAGACGAAGAAAGGAAGAAAGAGAGAGAGAAACAGAGAGAGGGGAAAAGCACATTGGTGATAAACCAGCCTCTCTCTCTCTCTCTCCCCCCCTTTTTTGCTGGAAGAAATAAATGAACGGAGCCCTATTTATTCTTTTATTGATTCCCTCTGAAATCTCTTCCTTCGCCCCATTTCACTGTCTTTGTCATAGTTTTTCACGAGACTCTACATAATTTCCCCCTCCCCCCCCTCCTAGCTCTAGCACCCAAAAGACAAATGTCTCATTGATACCTATTACTTTCGGGTCCCCCCCCTTCCCTAAATGCCATTCAGCTCTATATTTAATTTATTCCAATGCCACAGGCGTCGAGCTACGCATTGAGCTGGCATTTGCTCTTTTTTTTTCCTTGTTGCGAAAAATAAAAGACTCTACAGATCCCTTGTTCAGCGTGTCAGCGGTTCTGGGGGAGCCAATTACAGTTACAAGTAAAACGTTACCAGCTGGCTGACTTGCTTTCTGCTGGGGAAGCAGACAAACCTTCCAAAAAAGTAACCTGTCTCATTTATTCCAAGGAGGAGGAAGGGGA